GACTTCACCGACTTGATACTGGAGATCCCGGAGATGTCCGACAAGGACTCGCTCTTCAATTTCATGGATGGGTTGCAATCATGGATGAAAACAGAGCTAAGGCGTCGGGAAGTGCAAGATCTTGCCACGGCCATAATAGTTGCTGAAAGTTTGATTGATTACAACACCCAAAAAGAATACACCGGCAAATCCAAAGATAAGAAGGGCAGCTTTGTTAAAGGTGCGGGAGACAGGGGGCAATCTAAAGAAAGCAACCGAGACACCCGCCAAGACTACTCCTCACCCAAAGGTAAAGACAAGGGCAAACGTTAGGACAAGAACACCAACAAACCCCGCAACAATTGCTTTATTTGCAATGGGCCTCATTGGGTGAAAGACTGTCCGGAGAAGAAAGCTCTTACTTCCCTCATAGCCAAGCATCAGGAGGGCAAGCCAACCGAAAGCAGTAGTGATGGGGCACATATGGGATCGATGCAACTACTCAATGGGATTCAGTCCGCACCAAAAACCCAAACCAAAGGGTTGCTCTATGTTGATATGGCCATCAATGGGAAGGCCACCAAAGCCATGGTAGATACGGGAGCTTCGCATAACTTTATCTCAGTAAGTGAAGCACGTCGGCTAAGTATCAAGGCTTCAGGAGGTGGAGGCACCATCAAGGCAGTCAACTCAGTGGCGCAACCAATACATGGAGTGGCTCAACAGGTCAGAACCACGATGGGAACTTGGTCCGGCAACTTGGATTTCTCAGTTGCACCGATGGATGACTACCAAGTTGTCCTTGGCTTAGAGTTCATAGAACAAGTCAAGGCATTTCCCTTGCCGTCCACCAACACCATGTGTATCATGGACAGGGAACAAGCTTATGTGCTACCCACTAGCCGCTCTACCAAGCCGGAGACAGCAACACTCTCGGCTATGCAGTTCAAGAAAGGCATCAAGAAGAAAGAGGAAAGCTACTTGGCCATCCTTAAGCAATATGACGACGAGGAGCCAATCCCGCCAGAGGCAGTGCCCCGGGAGGTAGCACAAGTACTCGAGGAGTTTGTTGATGTCTCACCAAACAAGCTGCCAAAGGAACTACCACCTAGAAGGGAGATAGACCATCAGATTGAGCTGGAACCAGGCGCCAAGCCACCTGCCAAGGGTCCTTACCGTATGGCACCACCCGAGCTTGCGGAACTAAGGAGGCAGTTGCGGGAACTACTAGATGCAGGGTTCATCAAGCCCTCCAAAGCTCCGTATGGCGCACCAGTTTTGTTTCAAAGGAAGAAGGATGGTTCCTTACACATGTGTATCGACTACCGAGCACTAAACAAGGTATCTGTTAAAAATAGTTATCCTATTCCTTTGATTGCCAATCTTTTCGATCAGTTGGGACATGCCCGCTACTTCACCAAATTGGATCTGCGGTCAGGTTACTATCAAGTGCGCATAGCCGAAGGCGACGAGCCAAAGACCACCTATGTTACAAGGTATGGGTCTTATGAATTTTTGGTTATGCCATTTGGTTTAACAAATGCACCAGCCATTTTTTGCACTTTGATGAATAAGATATTCCATCCGTACCTCTACCGGTTCGTGGTCGTCTATCTAGATGACATAGTGGTGTATAGCAAAACTTGGGAGGAGCACATGCAGCACCTCAGGGAAGTGTTCCAACTCTTGTGGGACAACAAGCTGTATATCAAGAAAGATAAATGCTCTTTCGCCAAGCCGGAGGTAATGTTCTTGGGTCACAAGATCAAGGATGGGCAACTTATGATGGAGGATGACAAAGTGTAGGCCATTCAAGAGTGGGAAACACCCACCAAAGTGCCGAAGTTACGATTTTTCCTTGGATTACTAAACTACTACTGCCGGTTTATCAAAGGCTACTCAGCAAAGGCAACCTCGTTGACAGACTTACTCAAGAAGAGCAAGCCGTGGGACTGGTCTAATGAGTGTCAAGCCGCCTTTGAAGAGTTAAAAGCTGCAATCAGCAAGGAACCTGTGCTTGCCTTGCCAGACCATACTCAGCCATATGAAGTGCACACTGACGCATCCGACTTTGCCATCTGGGGTGTACTCATGCAGAATGGGCATCCAATTGCTTATGAGAGTCGAAAGCTCAATGAGACCGAGCGGCGTTATACTGTGCAAGAAAAGGAGATGACAGCCATCATCCATTGCCTTAGAGTATGGCGACACTACTTGCTTGGGTCTAAGTTTGTTACTTTGACAGACAACATCACAATGAGCTACTTTCAGACCCAGAAGAAGTTAAGTCCGAAACAGGCACGATGGCAGGACTTTCTTGCCGAGTTTGATTATGTCTTGGAGTACAAGCCGGGCAAGACCAATGTGGTGGTAGATGCATTGAGCCACAAGGCCGAGTTGGCAAGCATTAGTCAAGTCACAAGCGCATTGGCTGACCGAATCAAGTAGAGACTCCAGAATGAGTCATTGGCTCGAAACATCATTGCCTTGGTAGAAGAAGGGAAAACCCGGAGGTTTTGGCTAACTAACAGCTTACTCTACACCAAAGGCAACCTCCTCTACATCCCGAGATGGGACAATCTGAGGAAAGAATTGATCAAGGAGTGTCACGACTCCTTGTGGGCAGGCCATCCAGGTATGAGACGCACTCTTGCTCTCTTAAATTCTGCCTACTATTGGCCTGGGATGCAAGATAGCATTGAGGGGTATGTGCGTACGTGCCTTGTTTGCCAGCAAGACAAGGTAGTGCAATAGCAACCGGCAGGCTTACTACAACCATTACCCGTGCTCGAGAGACCATGGGAGAGTATCTTAATGGACTTCATCACATGTTTGCCAAAGTCCGAGGGGTCCGGAAGCATCATAGTCATTGTAGACAGGTTTAGCAAGTATGCCACCTTCATCCCCATATCCACCGATTGCACAGCGGAAGAGACAGCCAAGCTTTTCTTTCGCAACATCATCAAGTTATGGGACATCCCGACAAGCATAGTCAGTGATCGAGATCCTCGGTTCACCGGGAGATTTTGGACAAAGTTATTCAAGATGCTAAGATCAAACCTAAACTTCTCGACTAGCTTTCATCCCCAAACTGATGGTCAAACCGAGCGCGTCAATGCACTATTAGAGCTCTATTTGCGGCACTATGTGAGCGCTAGCCAACGGGATTGGCAAAACTCCTTGACACAGCCCAATTCTCATTTAACTTGCAACGGAGCGAAGCAACCAACAAAAGTCTTTTCAAGATCATCATGGGACAACAACCGAACACACCTCTTTCCCTAGCCACACGCTATGATGGGAAGAGCCCTGCAGCCTTCAGGTTAGCCAAGTCATGGGACGAACAAACTGAACTTGCTCGTGCAGCCTTACATAAGGCAGCGAAGAGAATGAAAAAGTGGGCCGACAAGAAAAGAAGGCACATAGAGTTCCAAGAAGGTGATCTTGTTCTTGTCAAGCTACTGCCCCAGCAGTTCAAGACATTAAGGAAGGTGCACAAAGGCCTCGTGACCAAATATGAAAGGCCCTTTCAAGTGATACAACGCATCGGCAAAGTTTTATATCGACTTCAACTTCCTCCGAAGCTAAAGATACACCCGATCTTCCATGTAAGCTTGTTGAAGCCATTCCATGAAGACCCAGAAGAGCCATCCCGAGGAGTTTCTAAACAAGCACCAACAGCCGTGGTAACATCCTTTGATAAGAAAGTTGAAGAAATACTTGCCGATAGAGTCATTCGTCGATGAGGAGTGCCAAATTACCGGGAGTACTTCATCAAATGGAAGGGACTTCCTGATATTGAGGCCAGTTGGGAAACCGAAGACTCATTGTGGCAATTTCAAGACTCAATCCTGTGCTATAAGGATTGTGCGACGAGGGCGTCGCAACATTAGGTGCGGGAGAATGTCACAACCAGCCTGCTTGCCGACTCAAGCATGTTGCACGTTCACGTTGCTTACTGATTAAGTATACTTAAGGGGAAGCAGACTTAAGAGCTAAGTTAACTTTATGGCTAAGTTAACGACTCAGCAGCTAGGTTCGGTGACTAAGCACCTTCGTTTCCAGGTCGCACAAATGGCGCCACCCACGAGCTTCGTTTCCAAGGCTACACAGTGCTCGGCACCTAGGGTTTCTTATGTAGCTTAGTCATATTCATTTGAGGAGCTTGAGCCTATAAATAGCCAACCCTCATGTAATTCATAACTGAATTCAATAATAACAGAGTTTATATTTCTATACTTCTCTCTCGTTACATACTTAGCCTGGGAGTTGTTGTGAGCGTTAGGCTGCTTACTCATTTTCGACGATTAAGGGCCGCACGAACTTAGCAAAGAAGTTAAGTGCGTGACATTAGGCTACTGCTCATAGAGGCTAAATCATCTTGTTAGATTTGCAAGAACTGCAATGAATTACTTGCATATATTTGACTACATTAAATCCTTCCTGCATATGGTATATAATAATATGAATGTATCAATTTTTAACAAAATCAGTGTATCAATTATTGACATAATACAGGCAGTAAGGTAAGCATAATAGTTGGTTTCTGGGCACTAGAGTAGTCGAGCTCACTGTTGAGCTGATTGGGCTTGCACGAATTGTCTGCAAGCTCAAGTTCCTGTTTCGAGCCTGGGCTCGACTCGAGCTCGAGTGATTTGTAAGGTCAGAGCTGGAGCCTGAGCTCCAGTGGCCCCAGCTCGTTGAGCTCAAGCCCGAGCTTGACCCCTTCATTTCCTAAATCGAGCCGAGCTCGAGCCATCCAATACTCGGCTTGGCTCGGCTCGGCTCAACTGCAGCCCTATATTTTATACGTTGCGAGTGTTCTTTCCAGGTTCATGCACTCCCCAAGTAAGAGCTAAAAGATGTTGAGATATATCAAAGGGACTGTTTCCCTTGGTGTCAGGTACTCAAAGTCTACAAAAAAGAAACTGGAGCTGCTAGGCTATTCTGATAGTGATTAGGGAGGCAATATTGATGAGTCTAGAAGCACTTCAGGGTACATATTCTCACTAGTATCTGGAAGTTTCACATGGAGTTTTAAGAAACAAGAAACCACAACCCAATCTACAGCAGAAGCAGAGTACGTAGCTGCAACATCTACAGTAAACCAGGCTATCTAGTTAAGGAAACTTTTAAATGACCTGGGCAAGAAGCAAATAGAAGTAACTAAGATCATGGTGGACAACATCTCAAAAGTCTCTATTTCAAGAAATCCAGCGTTCCATGGTCGAAGAAAATACATCAAAATTAAGTTTCACTTTATTAGAGAAGTTCAACAATCAAATGAAGTGTTAAGAAGAGCTTTCAGACATCTTTACTAAGCCGTTGCCTATGGAAAGATTTGAAGAACTTAAGAAGAAGATAGATGTTTGTCACCTAGATTCCAAGGAGGAGTGTTGAAGTATTGGTATATACCAGGTGCCAAAGGACCAAGTTGGAATCAGTTTTTTTAGCTGGAATAATTGCAGATTGCAACTTCAAGATATGCAGACTTAGTTATCAACCTGTTGGTATGATTTTGCTTCATTTTAGCTATAATTTGTTTATGAATTTTTAGCTAAAACAACCCTTGATCTTTGCATCAAGCTTAGGCTAATCTGTTATCTTAAACATGTACTATAAATAGCTTGCTGTGGTTGAATGAAAGCATCACAATTTTCAGCTTCAATTTATTTGCTTCACATCATATTAGCTTTGCCAATTAGCTACATTTAATCCATAAACACTCTCGACATTAGCAAAGCTAAGTTTAACCACCTTGAAATCCAACAGCAACCACCCTCTCCATTGACTGAACTTGAATATGAGATTTTGAGATTCCCCGATACGAGTGAACTTTGCGAGCTCAAGTTGTTTCATTTAATACATATGTTTCTTATACTTCCATATTTATAATCTTAAACGAGCAAGTGATGAGACACCACCAAGTCCTACTGTATTGAAAGAGTCAATATAGTCCATTACAGAGGTTTCCCTGTACAAAGGTAGACTATCCTCTGACAACTCTTTTATAGGTCCAAAAAGAGTTTTAGAAGGGTCAAAATGCGTTGTGAAGAAGCATGCCACTGATATTCTTGGACTGGTGCTACAATTAGCCAGCACTCTATGCTCTGCAGCCTTGAATTTGTCATTACTGATTAGCTGCAAAATAACACAATAATCAGAACCATAAATACTTCCCCTGGTGGAGGCCACCCTTTTTGAACCAATTTCTAAGGCAAAATACGTGTAACATAATCAATGGACTTTCTGTATACTTGTACAAACCTGTAAGAGTTCCCCGATATTGACCACTAGAGCTCCTTCCACTGGTGGGATATCAATCCACTGAGTTTCATCATGAAGAACTTGTAGACCACCAATTTGATCTTGAAGTAGGATAGTGAGAAAATCGGGATCACAATGTTTGGTATGTCCAAGAGTTCGGTCAGGCTCCGGACAACCTGGATAGTAGTGACAGAAGAACACATGTCCATCAGCACACCCCATCTCTGTCAGGCGATTAGAGTTGAGGCCAAGTGCCTCAGATAATAACTCAAAAAAATTTTCTCCTAGTTTCTTGACAGACTCCGAGAACTTCATTAGCATCTCCCTGGAAAAAAAATGAACATAGATAAAACTTTGAACATTCTGTCATTATCCATTACAAGTTTCATATAGGAAATGTTTACCTGCAGGCTTCTGGATACTCTTCAGGAGGTGGAGGATTCGGAGCCATGTGACAAAACAAGGTGTCCCTCCAATTAGCAAATCTGGCCTTGTATAGATCAAAGTTACTAATGAATCTGACCTTCTTCGTCTTTTCGCGGGAGTAGAATTTTTCTTTTACATGGTTTGGTTGCTCATGAAATCTCTGTATGCTTTGAATAACATCATATATAGTAGATTGCGGAATCTCATGGTTCACAACCTGGAAAAATCCCCATGTGTTGGATGCAAGTCCAATCGCTTCAACAACTTGTTTACGTCGAGCAGGATCCGTATCCGTTTCTTTGAGATCTATCACTGGAACGCTCAGGTGGGGTTGGGAGAAATCCCATATTTTACTGCAAGTCTCTTCAGCTGGTGCAACAAAGAACTTGGGAATTGTTTGTATTCCAGTATCAACAAGACCTTTCACACCAGCTTTTGTATTGTCGAAAGCCTTCAAGTCATTTTCTTTGTCATGGTTGTCCTGGTCACATCCTGTTAAAGCTGAAACCTGACTGTTGGCCATTCGTTTTCTTTAAGGCTCTCAGACAATCACTTTGATAATCAAAATGTTCAAAGGTAGGAAGATGAATAGAAACAGAGAATTGTAACTAAGCAAAACACGTTGTAAACATAAATATTTAACCAAGGTATTCGTCGTAGAAAGAAATAAAAAATTGTGAAATTGTTGACGCTGACGCAAACTAGATAATGAAGCATAGTTAAATAGGATCTCATTTTCACACACTGAAGATTAACAGAACCCACCAATATCTTGTCAATTAATACAATTACTTGGAATATTATATGCTTAAGAATTAAGTGGACGAATACTGATGATGAATAAGAAAGGAAAGAAAGAGAACAAAAATTCGTGCCTGGCGGGACGCATGGAGGCTTCCAGAGGCACATGTTGGTGGATTTTTGGGGGAATCTGATCGTGACTGGTTTAAATCAAGGTCTGCTAAGGTTGAAAGTGAATAAGTGGTTTGGCACCGTTAAACCCATTATGATAGAGGTACCAGGTGCCAAATTCCATGGCATCTGTCAAGATCATGGATAAGTTGGTGCCATCAAATTGAAATTATGGTATCAATACATGCCACACAAGTATTAAATAAAATAATTTTCAATTTGTCAAGATAGATAAATAAGAAATTTTACTAGTCATAAAAACATTAATGTATAGTAATACCTATATAGTATTTTAGATTTTTTTTTCTCTTGTTAATATGATATTAAAAATAAATTATGAACCCGAGTGTTGAGAATCGGGAGTAATCTCAACTCTCAGCTCGTCAAAAGCCTGACAAGTTTTCTCAGAGAAAATGTCGATGTGTTCGCATGGACTCATGCTGACATGATCGGGATCAATCCAAATGTCATATGCCACGCGCTGAATATTGATAGTGCGGTCAAGCCGGTTTGCTAGAAGAGAAGAACAATGGACCCTGAACGTATGCTGCCTTGAAAATCGAGGTAGATAAACCCCTTTTGAATGGGTCCATTCGAGAGGCACTTTACCCAAGCTGGGTTGCAAACCCCTTTAACCAAGCTGGGTTGCAAATCCGGTCTTGGTAAAAAAGTCTAACGGCAAGTGGCAAACTGTGTTGACTTCACCGACTTCAACAAAACCTATCTGAAGGAAAGCTTCCCTCTGCCAAGAATGACAACATTGTTGATGTCACCTCCGGGTACGAGCTACTGAGTTTTATGGACACTACTCGAGATATATCAGATTTTGATGTACGAGTTGGACGAAGAGCATACCTCGTACCGCGAGAAGATCCAACTCTCCTTGATATGAAAAGCCTGACCAACCAAAAACAGGTTTAGAGTCTCAATAGGCAAATAGCGGCTCTCAATCGCTTCATATCAAGAGTAGCAGAGCTGGCTTGCCATTTTTAATGTACTCAGGGCCAACAAGAAATTCGAATGACCACGATCGAGCAGGCTTTTCAGAGTATAAAAGAGCACATTGGAAAGCCACCCCTCCTGTCCAAGCCTCCCCGAGGAAATTCTATCCCTGTACATGTCTGTCTCTCAGCATGCAGTCAGTGCAGCTCTCATTCATGAGGAAAGCAGAGTCAATGGCCAGTATATACGAAGCAAGCGACTATTGGACACCGAAATACAGTATCTAGAAAGAGAAGCAATAGTTTATGCCTGTTGATCGCCTTCAAAAAAGTTGCGACCTACTTCCATGCCACACACTCACAGTCTTGACCAAACTATCCACTCAGGCAAGTCCTTCAGAAGCCGGAGGCTTCAGGTAAGTTACTCAAATGGGCAATGGAACTAAGTCAGTTCGATCTGCATTATAGACCAAAAGCAACCATTGAAGGGTAGGTTGTGCTGATTTCATTTCGGAGTTCTGCACCAATTGAATCAGGAATTTGAGCAACAAGCTAGCGAAGTCATCCAGGAAACTGTTTAAACTTATCGACCTGGAGCCTCTAGTGTCGATGGTTCCTCAAACAGGAAAAGAGCCAAGGCAAGCCTTGTCCTCCTCAGTCCCGAAGGGACTGCATCCAGGAATTCTTCAATTTGGGTTCCAAGATTGAACAATGAGGCCGAGTACGAAGCGTTGCTCGCTTGTCTGCGATTGGCAAAAGAGATGGGGTCAAGCGCGATCAGTGTCACAGTGACTTCCAGCTGGTTGTCAATCAGATCTTGGAGAATATCAAGTCAAGGAAGAAAACATGATCAGTTATCTGAAGAAAGCTAAGGCCGCACTCAAGTCTTTCAAGCACTTCACGATCGGACAGATTCTTAGTGACAGTAATTATGTCACAAATGCCTTGCAAGAATAGCCTTGTCGCTAGATTCAGATGCACTGAAAAGTATTCCTGTTCGATACATGAAATTCCTAGTATTAGCTAGCCTAAAAAGGTCGTGGCTACAGTAGAGTCAATTTCTTGGATGACTCCAATATTCAGTATCTCCGAGAAAGACCTAGCCCAATGACAAGACTGGGCAAAAATCCTGCGAACCAGAGTGCTCATTACCCACCATAGGAGATCAGTTGTACAGGCGAGGGTTTAGCGCCCTTCTCCTCAATGTGTAACCGATGAGGAATCAGACAATGTCATGAGGGAGATACATGAAGGGATCTGCGGTAATCACACTGCAACGCGATCCTCGCCAATAAAATTGTCTGCCAAGGGGACTACTAGCCCTACTTTAGGAAGACACTTTCAATTTGTTAAAAAAGTGTGGAAGTGTCAGTGGTTCACGAACATACCACGAGTCTTTCCACACAAGCTCAACCACGACCAACTTGGCCATTCCATGTAAGGAATTGATCTCATTGGACCCATGCCAGCTGGAAATGGAGGGTCAAGTATATTATGGTCACAGTGGATATTCACCAAATGGCTCGAGGCTGAACCATTGATCGTGATCATTACCCATCTTCAAAAATATAGGTGTCATACAGAATTGCTCATACCCTCATCTCTGATAAGGGAAGCAGTTGACAACGAGGAATTCAAGCAGTTTTGTGATGAGTTGGGGATATAAAAAGTTCGCCTCAGTCACAAGACCACAAGCCAATGGTCAGGTTGAAGCTGTAACAAAACCATTAAGCACACTCTAAAGGCTAAGCTTTGCACTACCAAGCGTAGTTGGGTCGACAACCTCCCAGAAGTTCTATGGGCATATAAGAAAACTTTGAGAACCTCTACTTCAGAAACGACATTCTTTAGCCTAGGCTGCAAAGCTATGATCCTAGTGGAAATAGGGACTGGTTCATCGGAGAGACCTAATTCAATGAAATAGACAATAAGCAATCTGTGTGCAAGTCTAGACTTAGTTGAAGAACATCGTGGCAAGGCTTGGTTAAGGAATCATCCTACCAAGCGTGCAAAAAAGTTATTCGACTCTAAGGTAAGAGAAAGAGACTTTTAGGTTAGCGACCTAGTTCTAAAAGAAGTCATTCTTGGTACAAAGGAAAAAGCACGGGGGTATTATGTGCCAGATTGGAAGGCTCATACGTATCTCAAGGTGATATGACCAATGACGTTAGCCTGAAAAGATTTAACAATTCCAAGTACTGTGAGCTTGGAATGATGAGCATCTCGCCCCTATTACTAGTAATTCTAAACTCGCTCTTAATTTTTGATTTCCTTGTAAACTTTGTAAATAAGATCACTCTTGGAAAAATTTATCCTATATGATCTTGCTGTCGCATGTTTTACAAGCTTTCTAGATCGTTCTTAGCAATTTATCTTGCATGATCTTGTTCGTCACAATGTTTTTACAAGCTTTTTGTTTGCATATGTAAGATTGTGGAGTACGTAAAATTATAAGTGCTATCACAAATGGCTAGAAAGTATTTCTTTTATTCATGTTTAGTAATAAAGTACAAGAAAATGAAGAAGTACAAAAATAAAGTTAAAATCAAGGTTGGAGAAGCAGGAAGGAAGAAGCGATCACTGGTGTCCACCTCTAGACCCTGAGGGTGCACCTCGGTATCCCCGGTTGGTCACCGACCACCTGGTCAGCTGTTAGGTCCTCTGGACATATTCCTCTTGCTGATCCACCTGGAGAGGCTTTTGTCCCTCCTTTTCCTCGATGTCATCATCAACTTCCGCCATGAAAGTAAGGATGTTCTGATATCGACGGGAAGTTGGAAAGGTCCATCCTCGGGTTCCTTGGCGCAGGCTATAGATTGCCTGAATTGCTAGTCAGCGACCTCTCTCAATTTCCAGGCTTTGTCGTTTCATTGATCAGTTAATGAAACAACTTCCCTTGGGATAATTCAAGGTCTGCCTCCAGTGCTCTCTTCTGCTTTCAGTGTTTTCCCACAATCGAGCTCTTTCTTTCTCTACCTTCATGGCCTTTCGAAGTTCGCTTGTAGTCTTACCTTTCTCGCCAACTCTTGGTGAGTCGGGCCATTGTCCTTTGGAGCTCATTGATCTCTTCTCCTCTCTTCTCGAATTGGCTTCTGGAACTCTATTGTGGGAAGCGTAGAGTTCCTCTCTAACAGGTACTAGTTCGCCTGAGGTGAATGCCTTTGTTCTACATCCACGGCACCTAGGTCCTGCTTCAATTTTGCATTTTCTTCCCTCAGCTCGTGGAGCCCCAGCCAAAGTCTAGGTCAGTATTTTGTTGGCCTAAGTGCAGGGCGAGCAGAGACCGCATGAGAAAGGAAACAAAAGTTAAACTCCATTTCTTTCAAAAACATAAAGGATATGAAAACCAACAATATTGGAAAATCTCGACGAGGATGAGTTGCCTTACCTGGTTTGCAGCTGGAGTGCTGAAGTAATCAAGTTGCAGGTCAGGAGGCCACAAACTCTTCAAAAGCCTTAGTAAGTTGGCACCAACAGCGTATACACCATCGGCTGCAAGTGTTCTGGAAGTTATCCATGGAGTCCAATACAGGTATGCCAGCCCTAAAGGAGCTGGCACCTCGCCAGACGTCTTTGCCCACTCTCTTTCCGGGTCGCGGCCTCCCCTATCCCTACACTAATGTGTGGGACTATGTAACGCCAGGTACGTGCTTTGGGATCGCTCTGAGTGAAAGGCCTAGTAAGGCTACGACCTCCCGGGCTGCACCCCTATGCCCACTAGCTCGAATTCTGATTCCTTAGCCTTCAGCTGTTTTCTCTCTTGATTTTTGGCCCATGGTTTTCTGCTTAAGGCGAGCAGCAACGGGCCGAAAGTTCCCCTAGGTTCTGTAGGTGTTCCCGCTCCCGCCTACACTCCTCCAATGGGGGTGTCGCTA